ACCTGTAGTGTTGGGGTTCAGCCTGTGTCTGAACCTGATTCTCGGATTGTATTTCCTGATGCTAATGAACATGTTGATTCTGAGGGCAATGTAGAAGATGACGGTTTGTGTAGTGAAACTCCTGCAGCCTTGGAAAGTGAAAGTTCAAATTCCTATGAGAATGTTTCAGAGCCAAGCGATGAACTTTCACTCCCTTTTCCTCCCAGAGAATCTGACACCTTGTCTCTCTAATGAGGATAGGAGAGGGCAGATTTGGCAGAGCAGGGGAGAATCTCAAAGTTTACGAAGGACAGCTAGACTGAGAGAAATGCAAACAAAGCCTGCAGGCGTGTCATGTAATAGATTTCTCGGCCTTAAGTACCTCACACCTGGATGCATCTTCAGACCAGGCATCACTCCAGATTCAGGCATCATCCTTGGCAGGTCTCCTGATTCCAGTGGCCTTATTCCTAAGAGGCTTCCTAGTTGCTTCAAGTACGGTTAGTGGATTGCTAACAGGTTCCAGGATTTAGCAGTGTTACTGTGGGTTTTTGATCTTGTTCATGGACATTTCTTGTTGCTGATTTATACTGTGCCTTTTTACCTTGCATATTTCCTCTATTTTTGTACTCATCTTTCTTCAATAAAAAAAGGATTGTTTTTCCTGGAGTCAAGTGTGGTGGATTGTTGTCTGAGGGTCCAGTTTCCTGCTCTGGGTTGCAACATGTAGAGAAGCTTAGTTTCTCATAGCATCCGGGGGAAACAGTTCCAAAGGACTCCAGCTGGAGAATCTACAAAGCCTTGACTGATAGGTCTACTCGGGACCCAAGAAGCAGTTTGGAGCCGGGAGTAGAGCCCACACCAGCAAAGTTTAGAAAGTAGATTGCCCAAGGAGGGGTTAAAAAGGGTTTTCCTCTTAAAGAAAAGAAACAGTTCACAAAGCCTGTCCCTTGTCGACAAGATTAAGAAAGCCACCAGTTGATTCAAACCCTTGAAGTATTTGTTTGACTTGTTGAAGATCTGAGAAGTATTTGATTGTTTTGTTGAAGACCTAAGCAATAATAAAGGACCTTGTTAAACTTTTCAAGCTTCTAAAGACTCTGTATAGGAAAATCCTTAGGGCCTCTCACTCGAGGCACCCCGGCTTCCCGCTGGGCACAAAGAGCACGTCCTGTTCAAAAGCCAACTGCTATAGGCCCAGCGTGTGACAGAACAATTATGCTAAAACACCAATATGATGTTAATCAATGCACAATTCGACATGCAAATGCAACCAGACTGTCATAACAGGAGAGTATGCTTCCTTGCTTGCCATGTGCACATCTTTTCCATCCCAATGAACATCATTAACAGGCCACATTTCAGCTGCTGCCTATAAGCTTGCATGAAATTAAGAGAATTCAAAGACCAGCTAGTAAATTAGTCACAGCTTTATTAAATTGATGCTCTTAAATTACAGTGGAACTTTACTTTTAACCCTTGGAACAGTGAGTCTCTCTCCTGCCTTTACCCGACCCAATAATGCAGCATCTACAAAAACCCAACATGTAGTTAATGTCTCCCCACTATCTGTTTGACATGCTCATGGTTTATTTTTCTTATGGCCACCAGTGAGAATACTTCCAAAAAATTAAACTCATATGTTGAGACGGTCGCCTAAATACGATAGTGGTGTTCCAGCTTTCATTTGTCAGAGATATAAGGAATGTTTCATAAACAACGTTCAAAGCAGCAGAATAGCCTTCAGACCCGGCATTTATCAGACGTAGGGGACTACATCTCTCATAATGCACAGCAGGGATGGCCAGTGTTGTCTGGGGATTATGGGGATATATTGATACACATTTGGAGAAGGTAGAAAAACCAAAGTGCTCTTCCAGCAGTCACCAGCCAATCCCTCTCCAATGCCAGAAATACATCTTAATGGTGTAACGTTAGAAAATGTTGACCATTTCCACTCCCTTGGCAGCCACCTCTCCACAAAAGTCAACATTGACACTGAAATTCAATACCGCCTGAGCTCTGCAAGTGCAGCATTTTTTCTGAATGGAGCAGAGTGTTTAAGGACCGGGACATCCGTAGGGATACCAAGGTGCTTGTTTATAAAGCTATTGTCTTCCCAACTGCAAGACGTGGACTATCTACAGACGTCACATGCAACTCCTGGAACAATTCCATCAGCGCTGTCTCTGAAAAATCCTGCAAATCTCTTGGGAAGACAAGCGAACAAATGTCAGCGTGCTGGAAGAAGCAAAGAACACCAGCACTGAAGCGATGGTCCTCCGTCATCAACTCCGCTGGACCAGCCACATTGACCGGATCCCTGACCACTGCCTCCCAAAGCTCTACTTCGAACTAAAGAATCAAAAATGGAATGTTGGTGGGTAGGAAAAGAGATTGAAAGATGGGCTCAAAGCCAACCTTAAAAACTCTGGCATAGATACTGAGAACTGGGAAGCCCTGGCCCTTGAGCGCTCCAGCTGGAGGTCAGCTGTGACCAGCAGTGCTGTAGAATTTGAAAAGGCATGAATGGAGGGCGAAAAAGAGAAACGTGCCAAGAGGAAGGCGCGTCAAGCCAACCCCGACTTGGACCGCCTTCTACCTGGAAACCGATGCCCTCGCTGCGGGAGAAGATGCAGATCAAAAATAGGGCTCCAGAGTCACCTACGGACCCACCGCCAGGACACTACACTTGGAGGACCATCATTCTTGGACTATGAGGGATTGCCTAAGTAAGTAAGTAAGTAAGTAAGTAAAGTAAATAAGGAGAAGGTAGATGTGCCTGCTTGCTTGGTTTAGTCTGGAGTTCAATTCTTTGCTTGCTGAATAAATAAATGAACTTACACTGCTTTCATTTTGTCAACACAGAATATTATGGAATTCCGATTTTGCAGGGATCCCACTGGGAAAATGCGCTTTGTAAAATTTCCCAACACAAAACAGAGTAGAAGAGGCCAGATGATGTTGAAGCCAAGAGGAAAGTGCGTCAAGCCAACCCTGACCGGGACTGCCTTCTACCTGGAAACCAATGTCCTCACTGCAGGAGAACATGCAGGTCAAGGTTAGGGCTTTACAGCCACCTATGAATCCACCACCAAGGCACTACACTTGGAAGGCCATCATACTCAGATAACTAGGGATCACCCAAGTATATATAAATATCCCCACTATAGATTGAAGACCTTGGGTGGTTCCTTAAAAGTTCAGGTGAAATCCCAGAACAAATTCTCCATGGCTCCACGGCTAGTAGAAACTCACCTGGTTATCCATGAGAGGTGAAATCACCCCTAGGCAACCATCCAAGAAAGTTCTTGCAAATGGGGGGGGGGGGGAGGAGAAGTAGGCTGGAATTTAATATGGAACTTATGTAAGTGGATTTACATTGACAGGAAATTGGAACTGAGGCGTTTCACAACATCTACATTCAGTAAAGGGCTCCCATAATGTTACCCTTGCGAAGAGACATGAACATTGCATATATGGGCAGGTGCACATTTTGCACACACGCATCAGGACATTCACTGATGCTCATTGGAAGATCCATCCTTCCACAGATTTTCTGTTTTGCTGCTAAATATATATATTACCATGATAAGGCTCTCCACCTTTGTGGGTTTGACTTTTGTGGATCTGATGTCCAAACACACATTTTGGTGCTTCAAATGTTAGCCCTGTTTCTGGGTGTATTTGACCTGCCAATTCCAAAAATGACACCAGTTTTCACCTGCCAGCTCTAGTTTTTGAAATGCAGAACATATGCCATCTACCGCTCCCTGCAGTCATGCCGGCCACATGACCTTGGAGGTGTATACGGACAATGCCAGCTCTTTGGCTTAGAAATGGAGATGAGCATCACACCCAAGAGTCAGACACGACTGGACTTAATGTCAGGGGAAAACCTTTACCTTTACCTATGCGATCTACCAGTTGCCATCTGCTCGTCCAAATACCTGGGAGTCACTCTGGACCGTGCTCTGACCTACAAGAAGCACTGCCTGAACATCAAGCAAAAAGTGGGTGCTAGAAACAATATCATACGAAAGCTGACTGGCACAACCTGGGGATCACAACCAGACACAGTGAAGACATCTGCCCTTGCGCTATGCTACTCTGCTGCTGAGTATGCATGCCCAGTGTGGAACACATCTCACCACGCTAAAACAGTGGATGTGGCTCTTAATGAGACATGCTACATTATCACGGGGTGTCTGCGCCCTACACCACTGGAGAAACTACAGTGCTTAGCTGGTATTGCACCACCTGACATCCGCCGGGAAGTAGCAGCCAATAGTGAAAGGACCAAGGCAGAGACATCTCCAGCTCATCCCTTGTTTGGGTATCAGCCAGCACGTCAATGACTTAAATCTAGAAATAGTTTTTCTAAGATCTACAGAGACACTTGCTGGAACACCTCAGCAAGCGAGAGTCCAAAAGTGGCAGACTCAAACACAGAACCTCAACCAATGGCTGATACCAAATGAGAGAGACTCCCCCCTGGGCACACAGAAGACTGGGTGACTTGGAAGGTGCTAAACAGACTGCGCTCTGGCACCACGAGATGCAGAGCCAACCTCAAGAAATGGGGCCACAAAGTGGAATCCACGACATGCGAGTGTGGAGAAGAGCAAACCACTGACCACCTGCTGTGATTCAACCTGAGCCCTGCTACATGCACAATGGAGGACCTTCTTGCGGCAACACCAGAGGCACTCCAAGTGGCCAGATACTGGTCAAAGGACATTTAATCAACTACCAAGCTTGCAAACTTTGTGTTTTGTCTGTTTGTTTGTTTTGTTCTGTTAGAAACGTAATACAATTGTCTGGTTGCCCTGACACGATAAACAAATAAATAAAACCTATGCCATCTACCAGTTGCCATCTGTTTGCCCACAGAAAACCATGATAATCATATCTAAGAAAGTAGAACTGATGCAGACGATCCCATGCAATTTTCTGAAACAGCGTCCCAAATAACCCCAGGACAGGCCTAAAAACCAAGATGCTAAGAAATGTCTTTGTTGGAATGTGTTATTCGTGGATTAGATTAAAATGGATATATTATGGGAGTTTGGGTTCTGGTTGTTGCCGTTGTTGTCGCCATTGTAGTACCTATTTAGACTTATTTGCAAAGCTATTCCAGAAAAGGACAACCTAAAGAATGGATGCTGAGCACTTAGTAAGAGCAAGGAAGCCCTGTTCTTTCATTTTTCGGTAGGTGAAAAAGTCCCTCACCATGTAGTAATGCCATCTCCAGGAGAGTCTAGAGCAGGCATTGGTAAATTTGGGCCCTCCAGGTGTTTTGGACAAAACATCTGGAAGGTCAAAGTTTGCCCACGCCTGACCTAGAGGGTCCTCAGTTCTACAGGATGCCCTCATGCTTCTCTGTCACTCTCAGGGCTTCATGCATGCTGGCCGCTGAGAGCCTCCGGTTGATGTTGCGATAGCTGCAGCGCAGCAGGTTCCAGAAGGTAGTCCTCAGGTCCCGGTTGCAGAAGGCGTAGATCAAGGGGTTGACGAGGGAGTTGGCATAGCCCAGCCACAGCAGGGTCCTCTCCAGCCGCAGCGGGATGCAGCTGCAGTGGCTTCCGCAGATGAAAGGCCTGGCGGCAGACATCAAGAAGAAAGGCAGCCAGCAGAAAGTGAAGGCCCCCACAATGATGCCCAGGGTGCGGGCAGCTTTCTGCTCCCTCTTGAAGATGGAGATGTTTTTGCGGTCTTGGCGCAGGAGCTTCGACAACGTGGCACACTCCTCCGCTGCCTTGTTGCGCTTGGTGTTGGGTTGGTGCCGGGCACCGGCTTCCGCACAAGAAGCTCCATCTTGTCTGTGGGATCTTGGGAAGTCCATGAAGCGATGCTTCTGGGCGCTGGCCTTGGCCGCCTTGTAGATGCGGTGGTACATCACCAGCATGACCATCATGGGAATGTAGAAAGCCACACCGGTGGAGTAGACGGTGTAGCCAAAGTCCTGGCTAATGAGGCACACCCGCTCCACAGTGATGTTCTTGGCCCAGCCAAACAGCGGTGGGAGTGTGATGGAAGCGGAGAGGAGCCAGACAGTGAACACCATCTTGGCCATCAGCTTCCCATCTTGTCTCACCGGGTATGTCAGCGGCCGTGTGATGCCCAGGTACCTGGAAAACAGGGAGCAAAGGCTGTGACATTGGGCTTATTAGATAGATAATGCACTGTTAGACAGGAATGCATTGGCTGTAACCCTATTGTGTAAAACAGGTGGAAAATACAGTTCTAATGGACATGTGGTCACACACACACACACCTGCAGAGTGATTAAGTGGGTGGCGATGTGTAACTTAAGGGACATGATGGAAAAGGCTGAGTTATGGCCAATGACAGTTATGACAAGGGCTGTATCATTCACTTTTGTCCCTGGTTGATGACAAGCAAGCAGTGGGTATAAAAGAAGGAAGGAAGCGAGTGTTCTTTCTCTTCCCATGTGTCTCTTGCCTTGCGTATGTTCCCATGCATCTGTTGCAGGTATCTGTTGCCTACGTCATGAGTATACGCTGTATATTTATTTATTTATTTGATTATTTCCTATATTTATACCCTGCCCTTCTCCCCCCGAAGGGGGACTCAGGGCGGCCTAACAAAAGCATCATATGATGCTAGCATCATAAAACAACCACAGTACAATCAAAATATTAAAAATTAAAACAACAATTAAAATAATTAATTAAGACACATCCATTAAAATCAAAATCCAAAAACCAGTCCGGGTCAATTCATTGCCATAAGTTGTGTGATCTTCTTCCACTTGCTGCTCACTGATCAAACGCTTGGTCCCATAACGAGGTCTTGATTTTCCTTCTAAAAGACAAGAGGGAGGTGGCCAATCTGATATCTCTAGGGAGGGCATTCCATAGGTGGGGGGCCACTGCTGAGAAGACAGCATGTGACAAAATGGGTACGGAATATATTGTGAGACCATGAAGGAACTCCGCAGAGCCATCCAAAACAAACATCATGGGACACTGATAGCGGGAGTCTGTCTCCTTCAAGACAATGTGCGTCCACACACCGCTCATGCAACACAAGAGTTGTTGACTTCATTTGGTTGGGATGTTTTAAGCCACCCTTCTCACAGCCCCAATCTGGCACCCAGTGACTATCATCTGTTGACTAAATTGAAGGAATACCTGGGTGGAAAATACTTTTCCAATGACGAGAGGTGAAAATTGAAGTGACAAACTGGCTGAAAAAGGTGAAGGGAAACTTCTATGACACAGGCATCCAAAACTCGTCCCAGGGATGATAAAATGTATTGAACTATTTTATTTTATTTATCGTGTCAGGGGCAACCAGACAATTGTATTACATTTCTAACAGAACAAAACAAACAAACAAACAGACAAAACACAAAATTTGCAAGCTTGGTAGTTGATTAAATGTCCTTTGACCAGTTTCTGGCCACTTGGAGTGCCTCTGTTGTTGCCGCAAGAAGGTCCTCCATTGTGCATGTGGCAGGGCTCAGGTTGCATTGCAGCAGGTGGTCTGTGGTTTGATCTTCTCCGCACTCGCATGTTGTGAATTCCACATTGTAGCCCCATTTCTTAAGGCTGGCTCTGCATCTTGTGGTGCCAGAGCGCAGTCTGTTCAGCGCCTTCCAAGTCGCCCAGTTTTCAGTGTGCCCAGGGGGGAGCTTCTCATTTGGTATCAGCCATTGGTTGAGGTTCTGGATTTGAGCCTGCCACTTTTGGATTCTCACTTGCTGAGGTGTTCCAGAGAGTGTCTCTGTAGATCTTAGAAAACTATTTCTTGACTTAAGTCATTGACGTGCTGGCTGATACCCAAACAAGGGATGAGCTGAAGGTCTCACTGCCTTGGTCTTTTCATTATGGGCTGCTACTTCCCGGTGGATGTCAGGTGGTGCAATACCAGCTAAACAGTGTAATTTCTGCAGTGGTGTAGGGCGCAGACACCCCGTGATAATGAGGCATGTCTCATTAAGAGCCCCATCCACTGTTTTAGCATGGTGAGATGTGTTCCACACTGGGCATGCATACTCAGCAGCAGAGTAGCATTGTGCTATGTATTGAACTGAATTGTGATTATGTCAAAAAATAATGTAATGCCTATACGACAATCCATGTAAGTTTTATTAAAATATATTCATTTTTTGTATTTAAAAAAAAAACCTTGTAACCTTCCTTTCTGGATAACCCTCGTATTTTGTACAAAGTGCAATGTGTCGAGATTAAAAGCCTCTGGTGAGCTTGGATGAAAACTGAATCGAGTTTTTCTGAACAGTGAGCAGCACAAGGTCAGACGGTGCAGTTACACTCTGCTGACAACTGATAAGCACTCTGCTGTGTTTGGGTTCGTTTCGGCTTGCCTTTGAGACATTCAATCCATTGCGCAATGTATCCAGGGAGAGCGTAATTGGAAGGAAACTATAAATCATGCACCTATTCCGCCTTAACAAGGCTTCCCTTCATGTATTGTTTACTGTTCCAGGCCCAAGTACCGGTGCACAAGTGCTGCTGAGACGTGTGTCTCACAACCTCTAACATTTCACAGAGACACTCCTACACAGTTGCATAAACTCCCAACACATTCGCAGAACTGCCAACATTTCACAGATTAGAAACACGGATATGAATATGTTTAGCCTGGAGAAGAGAAGACTGAGGGGTGACCTGGTAGCTATGTTTAAATACTTGAAAGGAGGTCATTCTGAAGATGAAACGAGCTTGTTTTCCGCTGCTCCGAAGATTAGAGGTGCAAACTGTAGAATTTATGCAATTCGACACTGCTGTAACTGCCATGGCTCCATGTTGTGGGGTCACGGGAGTTGTAATTTGGGGATACACCAGAGAAGACTAAAGATCCTGCAAAGCTACAACTTCTATAGAATCTATAGCATAGATCTATGGCAGTTAAAGTTTGCAGATGACACCAAATTGGGAGGGATAGCTAATACTCCAGAAGACAGGAGCAGAATTCAAAATGATCTTAACAGATTAGAGATATGATGAGCCAAAACGAACACAATGAAGTTCAACAGCAACAAATGCAAGATACTCCACTTAGGCAGAAAAAAATAAGGTGCAAAGATACAGAGAGGGGGATGATGCTTGGCTTGTTAGTAGTACTTGCAAAAAAGATCTTGGAGTCCTCGTGGTCAGTGTAATGTTCGTTGTTTGAAGGTGAACATGAGCCAACAATGTCATGTAGTGGCTCAAAAAGCCAATGGTATATTGGCCTGCATCAATAGGAGTCTAGTGTCTAGATCCAGGGAAGTCATGCTACCCCTTTGCCTTGGTCAGACCACTTCACCTGGAATCGCACTGTGTCCAATTCTGGGCGCCGCAGTTGAAGGGAGATGTTGACTCTAAACTGGAATGTGTCCAGAGGAGAGTGACTAAAGTGATCTGGAGAATAAGCCCTATGAGGAGCGGCTTAAAGAGCTGGGCATGTTTGGCCTGAAGAAGAGAAGGCCAAGAGGAGACATGATAGCCATGTATAGATATGTGAGGGAAGTCATAGAGAGGAGGGAGCAAGCTTGTTTTCTGCTGCCTTAGAGACTAGGATGCAGTGGAGCAATGGCTTAAAACTACAAGAAAGGAGATTCCACCTGAACATTAGGAAGAACTTCCTGACTGTGAGAGCTGTTCAGTAGGGCTGGGCGGTTTCGTTTCGTTAATTCGTAATTTGTTAATAATTCGTTAATTTTTTTAATTACAAAACGATAACGAACCATTCTGGAGCAATTTTTTTAAAAAAACGAATTTTTAAATAGTTTTGTAAATGCTTCGTATTTCGTTATTGTATTCATTTCGTTATTGTTTTGAGGTCGTTTCGTTATTATTTCCGCATGTCTGGGGCAAGTTTTATGGTTGTTTTTTGTTTAATTAGTGAAAAAAAATTATAATATCACACCAACAGTCAACAACAGAGGGAGAGGGAAGCTTCAGAAGTTTTTGGAGGTTTTTTAGCGTATTTCGCGGTCGCGTCCGCCATTAATGAATCAATTCGTTACTGTTTCGGAAATTGATTCGTTAATGTTTTGTAATTTTTTCACATTTACGAAATTTCGTAAATATCGAACTTTTTAAAAGGAAAATTTTGTAATTATTTTAAATAACGAAACGCAAAAACCCCCAAAAAAGAATCGATTTTAGAAACAAATTTTTCCGTTGTTACCCAGGCCTACTGTTCAGCAGTGGAACTCTCTGCCCTGGAGTGTAGTGGAGGCTCCTTCTATGAAGGTTTTTAAGCAGAGTCTGGGTGGCCATCTGTCAGGGGTGCTTTGAATGTGATTTTCCTGCTCCTTGGCAGGGGGTTGGACTGGATGGCTCATGAGGTCTCTTCCAACTCTATGATTCTAAGTGGAGCCAAACTGTATTAATTCTACAATATACGAGGGTTGAATGAAAAGTAATGCCTCCACCTTCGTAACTCCTCAACAGATGGCAGTACTGGTGTACAATATACGAGAGAGGAATGAAAAGTAATGCCTCCACCTTCGTAACTCCTCAACAGATGGCTTGTTCAGCAGACTCTTCTCTACAGTTCCATTTTGGTGGGAAGCCTTAGCATTGAACAGTTGTGCTGTTAAAGTGCGAAGTATGGAACTCTGGGCAGAGGGTCAGTCAATGCAACTTAAGCAACGTGCAGTCACTGAATTCTTGACAGCAGAAGGTGTCACCCCCAAAGGAGATTCATCAGAGAATGCAAGCTGTTTATGGTTATTGTGTTGATGTGAGTACTGTGCATCATTGGGCGAGAAAGTTTAAAGATGTTGAGGTGGGAACATCTGACTTGCGTGACAAACAAAGAGTTGGACGTCTTGTGACAGCAACCATCGAGTTTCACAACCAAAAGGTTGATAGATTGATTCAGAATGATCGTTGTATCATTCAGAGAGAAATTTCAAGCATAATCAGCATTTCTGTTCCCGATAATGAAAGAAGATCTGTGGGAACATCATTATTCTTCTGATGAAGACGTTGAGTGAACTGTGAGACGCTGGTTCGCGGAAACTGAGTGTCGACTTCTTCCGTGACGGCTTCAGAAAACTTGTTCATTGTTGGCAGAAATGAATCCAATTGTCTGGCGATTATGTGGAAAAGTGAATAGTGGTAGTTAAAGAGCACATTCTAAGGATTATTTATGTGCTTGATTTATTAAATTATTTCCATCCAAACCCAAGTAACGAAGGTGGAGGCATTACTTTTCATTCAACCCTCCTAGACACAAGAGAGATTAAAACTCAATGAAAATATATTTCACCCAAAGATTAGGCAGGAATTTTAGACTCAGAGTTTAAAAATAGAATCTGGACCAACCAGGGTATCCTAAAAACACAAAATCCTATTGAATCTTGGAAACTAAGTAGGATCAGCTTTGGTTAGCACTTGGATAGGAGACGGCCAAAGAATACCAAGTGTTGTAGGCTGTATTGCATAGGAAGGAACTGACCAAACCACATTTGAGTAGTAATTGACTAGGAAAAACCCATGAAATTGTGTGACGGTGCATTTGGCCCCACTTATATGTGAATGTATAGCTAAATTCTTTGGTTAACTGGAGCTGTCAATCAATGTCATTTTGCACCGGTTGAATTGCTCCCCCAGCCCAATTGTTTGGCTCCATCCCTTCCTGGGGAGGAGGGCAGTGCTTTCTTTTTCATTTCACCATCAAACAACTCAGCAGATGGACATGAGAAAGACTTGGCTCTAAAGCCCTCAGTCAAGTCATCTCTTATTACCAATTCTTAAGTTTGTACTCTTAAGATTCATTCTTCATGCCCAGTTCACCCTGGACGACTTTGCGGAAGCTTAAGCGCCTTCAAACCAGTCCTTTGGCATCGGGAGGAAGACTTTGTGCCTTCAATATAGGTCACTGGGCTGGGGTTGTGAATGTTCATGCATTCACAGCCATTGAGAAAGAGGGAACTTGGAAATCTTCTCAGCTGGAAAACTCCTTGGACCCAAGACTTCAGACACTATAATATATATATTCTTTACCCCCTGTTGAAACATCAAGTTTATATCTAAGGAAGATAACTCATTGTGAACAATAAAGACTATTTTGAGTTATTTCAGAAATTTCAGCTAGTCCAGCGGGCGGCGGCCAGGATGTTAACTGGTGCTCCTTACAGAGAGAGGTCAACCCTCCTGTTCAAGGAGCATCATTGGCTGCCGTTCATTTTCCGGTCCCAATTCAAGGTGCAGGTACTCACCTACAAAGCCCTAAATAGTTTGGGACCTGCCTACCTACGTGACCGCATCTCCATTTATGAACCTGCACGCTCCCTCCGATCATCTGGAGAGGCCCTGCTCACGATCCCACCTGCGTCGCAGGTGCGTTTGGTGGGGACGAGGGACAGGGCCTTCTCTGTAGTGGCCCCCCGACTCTGGAACTCTCTCCCTAAGGACATCAGACAGGCCCCAACGTTGGCTGTCTTTAGGAAGAGCCTGAAGACCTGGCTGTTCCAGTGTGCCTTCCCAGAATAGGAAACTCCTGGCTTCATGTCCCAAACGCACTTTGTTAGAGATTCAGGATTATCTGCACATTGCATCTACCGCCAAATACCTCTCTATATATTACCTGTCAGGCTCAGTACTTTTAATTTTTGCCCATTACATTTGGCCCGGCCCCTAGGTTTTTAATTACGTCACGGTGTCATTGTTTTACTGTTCTATTGTTTTGCTTGGTGTTTTATTATTTGCTTATGAGTTTTACTGTGTATTGTATGTTGTTGTTGTCGGCAGCCTCGGCCTTTGTAAGCCACATCGAGTCCTTCGGGAGATTTTGCGGGGTATAAATAAAGTTAATAATAATAATAGTGCCTTGATCCTTGAGAGTTCCAGTTCTCTAAAGGAGGGCAAGAAGCAATCCTCTGGGGAAAAGATGCCACGTCCATGTTTCTTTCACTAAGATCTATAGCCCTCAGGCGCGACGGCACAAATTGACAGGATTACCATAAGTCGGCAGCTGACTTGAAGGTATATATGCACACAAGGTTGTATATTTTCCCAGAGGGGAAATATACCACCTTGAGGGTGGTCTGCTAAGAGACACCAAACTGCATTAATTCTGCAGTGTAGATGCAGCTCAGGAAGCACATTTCATGTGCAGAAAATATGTTTTGTGTGCAAAACAATGAAATATATTTTGTGCAGCTGAACACCTCATAAGGGACGTCATGAAGCGGAAAGAATCTCACGGCTTCTATTACTCTTTTCAAGTGTTAAGAAACTCTGTCTCAACAGGGGAACGGTTTAAAAACGGATCTTGTTTCCATCCCTGGCGGCTGGTGCCTTGCTTACAATTATGAGATTGATGCAGGCACATGAAGGGAAAACTAACAAAAGCGGCTTCTTAATTAAATGCCTTTTGAGGCTTAATGGATTGAACCCGAAGGGAGCCTGTTTTACATCGTTTCCTATCCGTTTGCGATTTCTCGGTGACGAAAGAAGAAGTAGCAGAGAGATGGAAAAAGGAAGTAATCCATTGTAACTTGAGCACTTTCCCTTATTTTTCAGCAAATCTGCTGGCTTTTCACTTGGAATGTAAATATTTTTCAGTTAAAAAACTATTTTTACACAAAAGTGCTAATGGGTTTTTAAAAATAATTCCACATATATAAATAAAGTCTGGAGAAGTAACCTTATCCCAGGGTGGTCTTCTCTTAGGTCTGATCCACACTGCCCGATAATCCAGTTTCAGAATGTGGATTAACTGCATTGAACTGTGTAGACAAAGCAGGGGCCAACTATGGCCCTCCATGTGTTTTGGACTTCAACTCCCACAATTCCTAACAGCCTACCGGCTGTTAGGAATTGTGGGAGTTGAAGCCCAAAACACCTGGAGGGCCAAAGTTGGCCCATGCCTGGTGTGTTGTTTTTGTTCATTCGTTCAGTCGTCTCCGACTCTTCGTGACCTCATGGACCAGCCCACGCCAGAGCTCCCTGTCGGCCGTCACCACCCCCAGCCCCTTCAAGGTCAGTCCAGTCACTTCAAGGATGCCATCCATCCATCTTGCCCTTGGTCGGCCCTCTTCCTTTTTCCTTCCACTTTCCCCAACATAATTGTCTTCTCTAGGCTTTCCTGTCTCCTCATGATGTGGCCATCATGGCATGATGATGATGCCTGGTGTAGACTGATATAATCCACATTCTGAAACTGGATTATAGGGCAGTGTAGATCCAGCCTTACTTGCAAGGAGTTACAAGTGGCACATCCTACCTTAAAGAGGCCTCCTTTGAGAAGGAACACGGAAAAGATAGCACCAATTGGCAACATTTATGGAAGGCCTAGTTGTACCCATGTCTTCCAAGCTTCGATATGAAGAGTGTTGGGTTACATAGGTTTTTGGTTTCACATCTTCATAAAACCATGGAGTTGGGATTGTCAGCATTAGTGTTAGTAGCCTGCAGAATGACTTAGCCCTTTTAACTCTGTGATAAAAATAACTCATAAAAATACACATGAGTCTTTCACTTTAAGCAGAAATAAAATAAAGTTCTATTCACTGTATACAAAACAAGACAGAAGAATTGCTTTCACCAAATATAACAAAAACAATATCTTTGGTGAGTTCTCTTCATTCAATGGCGATATGCAGATATGCAGAATAATATACATTCTTTCTGATTTTGTTGCCAGTAGAGCGACCTTGTCTTGCTGTAAACAAACTTTATCTTCAGGATGCTGCAGAAACGCTCCCTGCACCAACCAAAGGCTTTTCAGCTCAAAATGAGCCCTCAAGCAAAGCTTAGAATGCAATGCTCAAAGTTTCTAAACACTTAGTGCCTTACTATATACAGGAACTAATATCACATGCAATTAACCCACGACAGCTGCAACAGAAAAAAACCCTGATCCTTTCTAAGACTTGGAAAAAGCCTGTTGCAAACCCTTAGTAGCAACAGGGATGGTCACTTAGTGCAACCTGATGCCATGGCAGAATATATTTTTAATTTTTTTTATGTCCATAGAGGAAAGTTATCTCTATGTAGCTGCATAATCGGAGTGCTATCTTTGTACGATTCTTCATTCAATGTGTCCAGTTCAGCTATTGCTTCATCAAATGCTGCTTTTGCCAGACTGCAGGCCTTCTCTGGTGAGTTTAGAATCTCATAGTAGAACACAGAAAAATTGAGTGCCAAACCAAGTCGAATAGGATGAGTTGGTTGGATCTCTTTCTTGCTGATTTCAAATGCCTCTTGATATGCTTGCTGGGAATTTGCTACTGTTGTTTGCTTGTTGTCACCAGATGCCACCTCTGAAAGGTATCTATAGTAATCTCCTTTCATTTTCAAATAGAAGACCTTGCTTTCTGGTTGTGTAGCATTAGCAATAAGATACTTATCCAGCAGTTCCAAAACATCATTGCAAATGTCCTGCAGTTCAGTCTCAATTTTCTCACGATACTCTCTTCCTATCTGTTGTTTCTTCTCATTTTGTTCTGTCTTCTGTTCAATGCTGGAAATGACACGCCAGGAAGACCGACGAGCACCAACCACATTCTTGTAGGCAACAGACAGTAGATTCCTTTCTTCATTGGACAGCTCATGTCCCTGTTCAGTAACAGCCTTCATGGCAGCAGCCATATCATCATAACGCTCTGTCTGCTCGGCTAGTTTAGCCTTCTGCACCAGCTCACTTTTGTCCATGGTTATTCCTCAGGCAGGTCCCGGTAAGGCAGTGGGCGAGGGGCGAGTGAGTGCAGCTCCGGCTTCCCAACCGTTGCTCCTCCAGCACATATACACACCCTGCAGCTCTTGCAGGCACTTCCGGCCTGCACTTCCTCCTCCACCTCTCCCTCCTTCCGCTTCGGCAGAATATACCATCAAAGTCATGCTGAAAGATACACATCCAGCCTCTGTTGACAGACGATCAAAGAAGGAGAGTCCATCACCCTCCAAGACAGCCTTTCTCAACCTGGGGGTCTGGACTCATGGGGGTCGCAAGGGGGTGTCAGAGGGGTCGCTAAAGACCATCAGAAAACACTGTGTTTTCTGTTGGTCATGGAGGTTCTGTGTGGAAAGTTTGGCCCAATTGTATCATTGGTGGGGTTCAGAATTTGATTGTAGGTTAACTATAAACCCCAACAACTACAACTCCCAAATGTCAAGTCTATTTTCCCCCAAACTCCACCAGTCTTCAGATTTGGGCATATTGAGTATTTGTGCCAAGTTTGTCCAGATCCATCACTGTTTGAGACCAAAGTTTTCTCTGGATGTAGGAGAACTCCAACTCCAAAACTCAAGGTTAATGCTCACAAAACCCTTCCAGTATTTTCTATTGCTCATGGGAGCTCTGTGTGCCAAGTTTGGTTCATTTCCATTCTTGGTGGAGTTCGGAATGCTCTTTGATTGTAGGTAGATTATAAGTCCCAGCAACTACAACTCCCAAATGACAAAATCAATCCTCCCCCAACCCCACCATATTCAAATTTGGGCGTATGGAGTATTTGTGCCCAATTTGGTCCAGTGAATGAAAATACATTCTGCATATCAGATATTTACATTACAATTCATAACAGTAGCACAATTACAGTTATGAAGTAGCAATGAAAATAATGTTATGGTTGGGGGTCACCAAAACATGAGGAACTGTATTAAGGGGTCACGGCATTAGGAAGATTGAGAAACACTGTTCCAAGACAATATATTTCATCGTCTTACCATTGAAAAGTTCTTTGTGAAGTTTAGGAGGTATCTATTGCCTTAGTTTGTGTTTGCTTAGGATATTTAAAGATAGCTATCATGGACTTCTTTTCTCCAAGCTAAACATACCTAGATTGCTCCTCCAAAGTCATGGTTTCCAGACCCTTTGACCACTTCTGGATATCTTTCTTGAATTGTGGTGACCACAGTGCTATTCCAGGTGAGATCTGACCACAGCAGAATAGAGTGTCATCACCCAACACTGAAAACAATACAATCTTTTGGGTTTTGGACTGGATTGGAGGCTCCACTGATTTGTTTGCCATTTATGAGATTCCTATAATGTAAGTGACTCTTTAAAAAGCAATAGATTTTAGGGGAAAGACGATAATAAATCTGAGGGAATCACTCGGGGTGTACCTTGGCTGAACGGGATGTTCCTTTTCATTACTGAGTAATATTTTATACTGAAAGCCAACAAAGACATTTTAGTAAGGAATACATAAAATAAATCTCCATGTCTCAGACTTTATGGCTCCTGCCCATAGGAGCCCTTAGAAGTTAAATAGATGCCATCTGGAATTGGCTTTGAATTCTGCCCGACTGCGTTTTGCATTCATAGACGATGCTCTAACTTGTGCAATTAACTTTAAGTGGCTCCTTTCTATTTTTGCTCAGACTTCTCTCCTTTGTTCAGGGAAGGTTAAAATAAAAGTCATGTATCCAGGGGATAAACATGCGGATGGAAGTGGAGCAGGAGGGGCTAAAAACATGGTCGAGTAACTACCCAGGTAAGAGATATTTGGGCCAGTCAAGGGTCTCAGAGGGCACATATGTGCTAGAGATAATGGAGGACAATGACCATTTGGTGTTGTTCACATGTCCTACACTTCACCTCCTGCTTCCCCCTATCTGATTGAGGATGATGGGATTTGTACTCCAACACATCCGGGGCATGCCTGCTTGTGACCAGTTGGAAGGAACTACAACTGGTCTATGACAATCTTGATATGCTGGAATAAGTGTTGCAAGAGAGCAAGCAAGGATTTCTTCTCTGGGACATAAAATGACAGATCCAAGGCCGAAGACCGAAGGATTAGAGGTATGACTAGGGTCTAAATCCTGTTAATATCTAACTAGAGAATTGACCTTGGTGTGGATAAGCAAGTCTACTCCAGTCAGATTGGCTTTGGTGTTGATATACTCTCGTTGGAACTAACCAACAGGATTCCAGGCGGGATGTGATCACTTACCCTTGTGTTGATATAACATGTCTACTCTAGTTGGATTGGCCTCCATGTTGATACAACAAGCCTACTTAGTTGGATTGGCCTTCATGTTGGTACAAGTCTACTATAGTTTGATTGGCCTTTGTATTGGTACAAGTCTACTATAGTTGGGTTGGCCTTCATGTTGATACAACAAGTCTACTTAGTTGGATTGGCTTTGTGTTGATACAAGTCTACAACAGATGGATTGGCTTCCTTGTTGATACAACAAGTCTACTTAGTTGGATTGGCCTTGCATTGATACAAGTCTACTACAGATGGATTGGCTTCCTTGTTGATACAACAAGTCTACTTAGTTGGATTGGCTTTGTGTTGATACAAGTCTATTACAGATGGATTGGCTTCCTTGTTGATACAACAAGTCTACTTAGTTGGATAGGCTTTGTGTTGATACAAGTCTACTACAGATGGATTGGCTTCCTTGTTGATACAACAAATCTACTTAGTTGGATTGGCTTTGTGTTGATACAAGTCTACTACAGATGGATTGGCCTTCTTGTTGACGCAACAAGCCTTCTTAGTTGTATAGGCGTTCATGTTGGTGAAAGTCTACTATAGTTGGATTCATCTTCACATTGGTACAAGTTTACTATAGTTGGATTCACCTTCATGTTGGTACAAGTCTACTATAGTTGGATTGGTCTCCTTGTTGATACAACGTGTCTACTCTTGTTGGATTGGCCTTTGTGGCCTATCCTACTTGGATTATCCTCCATGCTGATACAAGATGTTTACTCTAATTGGGACTAACCAACATGGTTTCAGTCTAGATATGATAGGTCACAAGAGACAAGAATGGTGTTCTCCAACCCAATGAGAAGATTGCTTCAACAATGAAACACATTACTTTGAAGATGGTAATTGGGTTCAAATTATGGGAAAGGGGATTCCACCTAAACATTAAGACTTTAAGAGCTGTTCAAGAGAACAATCAAACACTGCCTCAGAGTTTGGTGGCGGTTCCTTCATTGGAGGCTTTTGAACAGAAGCTGGATGGCCATCCATTGGGGGTGCTTTGATTGTGCTATTCCTGCCTGGCAGAAGGGAGTTGGATTGGATGGCTCATGTGGTCTCATCCAACTCTATGATTCTGTGATTCTGTGGTGGGGGTAGGTTCTCTTTCACTCAAGATCTTTAAGTAGACCTGAACAACCATACATTAGGGGATAATTTGGGTTTCCATCATGGCAGTAATGGTTTGAACTAGACATCCTACAAGATCCCATGGCCCATAAGAAGGAGTACAGATGCTTCCTTACCTGTCGACACTGATGACACAGAGAGTCATGATGGACGCTGTGCAGCACATGACATCCATGGCGATGAAGACATTGCAGAAGACCTCCCCAAAGAGCCACTCTCCTCCCACAAGGTCTGTGATGATGACGAAGGGCATGACGGCGAAGGCCACGGACAAGTCGGCAGCTGCCAAGGAGACCACCAGGTAGTTGGATGGCTGCCGGAGCTTTTTGACGATGCACACGGAGATGATGACCAAACTGTTGCCCGCGATGGTCAACAAGGTGATGACGGAAAGGACCGTCCCTATGACGACCTTCTCTGTGTCCCCATAGAGCAAGATATCCTCCCCACAGTCTGTCACGTTGGTGGCATTGGCAGGAAACAGGTCTGGTTTGGTCGCTTGGGAAGGTCCCTCAGTCATGAATGGAGCTGGGGTGGACCTCTTCCTGGGAGACTCTTCCTCCGTTTCCTCCACGATGGGAAGTTGCTGCTCCAAAAAACAACTGGGACCGATCCTTATCAGCATCCTTCGGATTCACTGCTGTGTGGACAGCAGGTACAGACCAAGGATTTGGCTGGAGGTCAACCTCTTCCACTGCAAGAACAAGCATCTGGAAGTTAGAGGAAGCAAATAGAGATACATGTCAATGCACAGATGAGGTTTGCTCAGGTATGAGGAAACTTCAGCCCTCTAGGTGTTTTGGACTTCAACTCCCACAATTCCTAACAGCCTACCGGCTGTTAGGAATTGTGGGAGTTGAAGTCCAAAACACCTAGAGGGCTGAAGTTTGCTCATGCCTGGGATTGCTTCTTCTTCCCTTCCATTGTAGCTCAGATACTTCTGAATTTCCACCTAATCATGGGATGGAGCTGAGTCTCAAAGGGTTAGGACACCAGGAATTTGGATTAGCAAGCATGACTATGTCATCTTCTCCTTCCTTGAGGCCTCCTTCTTCCTCTGTGCTTTATTGACATCCTTTAAATATCTAAAGAGTGAGGTATGTGTGTAGGAATACCCAGAAAAATATCTTTATGAACTATCTGTGTTTACATGCAAATTGTTTAGAAGTGGTTTGATCCAGAATAAGTAAACAAGGTAGGACTTATGTGGAATTAATGCAGTTTAGACCCACTTTAACCACCATGATTCAATGCTATGGAATCCTGGAAGTTGCAGTTTTATAAGGTCCTCTTTAGCCTTCTCTACCAAAGAGTGCTGGTACTTCGCTAAATTATAAATCTGGGATTCAAGAATCCTGGGAGTTGCAGTTTTATAAGGTCCTCTTTAGCCTTTTCTGCCAAAGAGTGCTGGTTCTTTGCTAAACTATAAATCTTGGATTCCAGAATCCTGGGAGTTGCAGTTTTATAAGGTCTTCTTAGGTCTCCTCTGCCAAAGAGTGCTGGTACTTCATTAAACTATAAATCTGGGATTCCAGAATCCTGGGAGTTGCAGTTTTATAAGGTCTTCTTTAGCCTTTTCTACCAAAGAGTGCTGGTACTGCATTAAACTATATATCTAGGATTCCAGGATCCTGGGAGTTGCAGTTTGATAAGGTCGTCTCTAGCCTTATCTGCCAAAGAGTGCTGGTACTTCACTAAACTATAAATCTGGGATTCCAGAATCCTGGGAGTTGCAGTTTTAAAAAGTCATCTTTAGCCTTCTCTACCGAAGAGTGCTGGTACTTCATTAAACTATAAATCTGGGATTCCAGAATCCTGGGAGTTGCATTTTTATAAGGTCTTCTTTAGCCTTCTCTGCCAAAGAGTGCTGGTACTTTGCTAAACTATAAATTTGGGATTCCAGAATCCTGGGAGTTGCAGTTTTATAAGTTCATCTTTAGCCTTCTCTGCCAAAGAGTGCTTGTACTGCGCTAAACTATAAATCTGGGATTCCAGAATCCTGGGAGTGCAGTTTTATAAGGTCGTCTTTAGCCTTCTCTGCCAAAGAGTGCTGGTACTTTGCTAAACTATAAATCTGGGATTCCAGAATCCTGGGAGTTGCAGTTTTATAAGGTCGTCTTTAGCCTTCTCAGCCAAAGAGTGCTGGTAGTTCGCTAAACTATAAATCTGGGATTCCAGAATCCTGGGAGTTGCAGTTTGATAAGGTCTTCTTTAGCCTTCTCTACCAAAGAGTGCTGGTACTTCACTAAACGATAAATCTGGGATTCCAGAATTCTGGGAGTTGCAGTTTTATAAGGTCGTCTTTAGCCTTCTCTGCCAAAGAGTGCTTGTACTTCACTAAACTATAAATCTGGAATTCCCCATCTACAGTGCCATGCAAAATCCAGACTATCTGCTTTATATGGCAGCGTAGACTCATACAATCCAGTTTAAAGCAGACAATCTGAATTGTATGGCAGTGTAGATCCAGCCTCAGTTAAAGTGGTATCAAACTGCATTAATTCCATGGTGTAAATGCACCCCAAAAGAAAGATGCATCTTCTTCCTTCACTGACTCGTTCTTTTGGCATCTAACGAAGCCAGTGCGAGTCAGTGAAGGAAGTGGATGTGTAACAACTGCGGAAATCAGAAAGTGAAGGATTTTCCTCATTTCATATATTCAAATTCTGTTGGTGAATTGCTTCAATAAGAATGCAAATGCATGCATTTTGCATTACATTCACAAATGTGTTTGGATAGATCTTCCTGATGCCAAAAATCAAACTTTTTATCAGCCTTCTAAACGGATCCCTCCCTCCGACGTGAATGAATATGATGTGCGTGTGTCTTGTTGTAAGATGGCACGATTTCCATCTGCAATCTTTATCAGCCCATTAATTAGAGGGTTTGCTCTTTTTGCAAAAAGATATGCTGCCCGGGGCAACCTACCAGCAGATGAAAAGGGTTCCTAAATGGATAAAGCTTAGCGCAGTTAATCAATTAAATGGCAAAGCCGTAGCAAAACGTTATTAAAAGGGGGAAATGTACTTGCAGCCGTCACCGAACTTAATATAGGGGCCAGGTCTCGGGAACTTGGGTTAAGTTGATAGCAGCCTATTTGGCAGGGCTCAGCTGCATATCCCATCATCCCCAGATCGGTGGGATGATGGGAATGATTGCCCAGTCAATCTGGGGGGGGGGGATTAAAAGGTACACTGTTAGCCCCACCAGTTTGAAAACATTCAAATGTGAGTAGATCAATAGGTACAGCTGCAGAAAGGTAACCTTGGATTATTCCTTGGAGTACCCCCTGGTGGCGCAGCAGGTTAAACCGCTGATCTGCTGAACTTGCTGACCGAAAGGTTGCAGTTTCGAACCCAGGGAGCAAGGTGAGCTCGTGCTGTTAGCCTTAGCTTCTACCAACCTAGCAGTTTGAAAACATGCAAATGTGAGTAGATCAATAGCTACAG